TTGACATAAGCTGCTTCAGAATAAGGTGTGCAAAACAGTTTTGCCAATTTAGCGTCAAAGTATAAAAAACATAGGTCGTTAAGACACTGGAACAGGTTGCCTGGAGAGGATGTGGAGTCTCCATCTGTGGAGATATTCAAAATCTGACTAGACAGGGTCCAGGAAAAACTCTTCTTGAGAAGGGAGACCCTCCTTGAGAAGGGAAGGGGTGAGGCATTGGACTAGATGGTCTCAGGAGGTCCCTTCCAACCTAAATGACTGTCATTCCGTATGCTGAAAAAACCCCATCCCTTCTGACACATCACAAGAGAACCTGCCACACATGCTCTTCACAGCATACAAGGACGTTTGATGAAAGCAGACATTAAACATCACTAGATCTGCAAAATGACCAAGGTTCTTTTCTATATTAATCGTAACAACTACTCACAATCCCCAAATAAAATTACACTTAGGATTTGCAAGGCCAAAAGTTGTCCAACTGTGAGATGAGCAGGTTCATGGTGCACTGGGTGAAGAATTGGCTCAAAGACTGAGCTCAAAGGGTTGTACTGAATGGGGTTACATCTGGCTGGCAACTGGTCACCAGCAGCGTTCCTAAGGGCTAAATCCTGGGGCCAGTGCTGTTCAGTATTTCTATTAATGATCTGTCTCCAGGAATTGACTGAACCATTACCGAGTTTGCTGATGATAACAATCTGGGAGATGCTGTTGCCTCTCTTGAGGGATAAGAGGCCTTGCAGAGGGATCTAGATAGATTGGAGCACTGAGCAGTCATCAACGGCATGAAATCTAACAAGTGCAAGTGACGGATTCTGCACCTACAGAGTAATGCTGAGCACAAGTATAAACTGGGAGAGGAGTGGCTGGGGAGCAGCCCTGCGGAAAAGGGTCTGGGGCTGCTGGTGGGCAGCAGGGTCAATAGGAGTCAGCAGTGTGCCCCGGCATCCAAGAGGACGAACTGCACCCTGGGGTGCATCAAACACGGCATAACCAGCTGGTCAAGAGAGGGGATTGTCCTGCTGTGTTCATCATTGGTGCAGCCTCACTTGGAGTATTGTGTGCAGTTCTGGGAACCACTATTTAAGAAGGGTGTGAAAGTATTCAGGTGCACCCAGGGCAGGACAACCAAGCTGGTGATTGGGCTGGAAGGCATGTCCTATGGGGAGTGGCTGAGGATTCTGGGTTTGTCTAGTTTGGAGACAAGGAGGCTGAGGGGCGACCTCATTGCTCTCTACAGCTCCATGAGCAGGGAGTGTGGAGAATGGTCCAAAGCTGCATCTGGGGAGGTTCAGACTTGCCATTAGGAAACTTTTCTTTACCAAGAGGGTGGTCAAACACTGGAACAGGCTTCCTGGAGAGGTGGTCGCTGCCCCACGCCTGTCAGTGTTTAAGAGGTATTTGGACAATGCCCTTAATAATATGCTTTAACATTGGGTCAGCCCTGAGATGGTCAGGCAGTTGAACGAGATGATGGCTGCGGGTCCCTTCCAACTGAAATATTCTATTCTATTCCATTCAAAATTGGGCTCTCTTTGGTATCACATTATTTCCTCAATGCAAAAAAACAGCCCAAAACAAACCCTTATAAAAAAAACAAAGTCAAAATACCAAGATTTTTCTTTCAACATGAGCCACAGCTCATTATGGTTTCTGGTAGTAAACTAACCTATAAAGGGGAAAATATATTTGTAATACCTGAAAAGCAGATATCGCACTTGAAAGCACTTCGTGTCTTCTGAAGGCAACTCTGTGGATTCCAGTGTGATGTGTATCTCACATAGCTTACTTTCTTCCCCAAGCAGTTCCACTGGTTTCTGACATATGATGAACTCATCTAATTCAAACTGCAAAGTATGTGTTGAAGGGCCTTCATCTTTTACACCTTAATGATGAAAATGCCATATTAACTGTTCAAACCATTCCATTTAGCAGTAAGAAAATGATATAACAAAACATCAATTAAATACTCCAATTACAGGTACCTAGCTAGCATTGGCTTCCTCAAACCATGAGATTTCAAAACCAGCTATCCTAGAAGATGAGAATAATCCTTCATTTAAGCCTCAGCAGTCTGAATACCTAAGAGTCAAGACTTCTGAAAGAACAGGTAAACTGTTCATTGTAAGGCAAGTCCAAGGCAATCAGTGCTGCAATTGTTTGTCTGTCAAAAAATGCTGTCATTTGGCTGGAGAGGTTTTAAGAAGGAGAAGGCAGCTATGCTAGAAAGTTTTGTTCTCGTAAACTCACTTCAGTTCTGGACACCAAATCCTAATAGCACTCAGAAATAATCTGAACTTTTCTATTTAGTTTTTAGTAATAAAAACAACCAGGGCCAGGGATGCCATTATCTGAGTTAAGATCTATCTTCACTCAATGAACAATCCAGTTTATATTTTACCTAGCTGACAAGTCTGATTTACCTTTATATTTTTTCTAGGCACGGTTTCCATTTCTAAAAGACCATCCTTTTCTGTTTTAAGTTTCTTCAATTATAAATTAAGGGGTTTCCTAAGGTTTGTTGGTGTTTCTCTGATACTTTTGGAAATGTGGGAACTCATTAAATAGGGATTGATTTCCTGCAATACACAGGAATGAAACCTACTGAGTAAATCTATTTCTGGGATTTCTATGATTCTAAGGCAAGCCCCCCAAAAAGATAAAGGACTGAAACAGGAAGATTTGCTGACACCCTGTTTATGCAAGTTCTGAGCCTACTAACATTTGCAACAGTGTGGATGCACTACCACAGAAGCATTCTTAAATGTGTAAGCCAGTATGCATGATCCCATTTCACGGTTCATGAGACGCTTATTCCATTTGGCCTCCCACTTGCCTCTCAGAAGAGTTATTTGGGCAGTGACACTGACAGAATAATTTTTCTGAACATAGCGTACTGAACTCCTATCACTTTGTTTTGGCCCATGGTGGCACCCCAAAACAGGGACCTAATTCTATGTCTGTAGAGGCTGCACTACTCTGAAACATCTGCAGAGTGATGACATATTTATTTTGTTACCTCCAAATGCAGGTGGTACTACTTTTCATGCACTAGAGTGTTCACCTGACACACTTAAAATGATCTTGAAATACTTTCTGAAGGACAATTACCTTGTTTGACCCTACTTTGAGAATAACAGGAATCAATTAGCAGATTCTTAGAAATAAAAAAAATTAATTTCTTCACTTACCTTCAACCACAGGTTTTTCTAGTGTACTAACTCTCTGTGCACATTGCTCTGTCCTGTCTGCACTTTGCTGGACTAATTCCAGTTTCAGGATCAGAACATCCAGCTCTGTTGTTATGGCTATATGTCTGGCGCAAAATGCAACTTCAGCAGGAACGAGATTATCAATGTGCAAAATTAAGGAGCGTTCAAAGTCTAACACAGTCAAATTCTGGTTTATGACCAGATATTTCAAAGAGAACATGACTAGTTTATTTTTGCAGCCCACAAGAAGATCTCCATTTACAGGACAACATGAAATGCACAGGGGAGGATCTGAAAGTGGCATTTCCACAATTGACATCTGTTCTTTTAAGGTTTCACTGTATGACTCTTCCATCTTGTGACCAACCATCCGAACACAAACACGAGAACTTCCTGCAGACATGCATCTCCAGTTCACATACGCTCTTAGGAAAGTTGCTTTGCTTTTTTCTTCAATTGTGACCAGATAGTCTCCTTAAAAGAAAGCAGTAGTACTGATATATCATTAAAGGATAGATGACAGCTTCTGAGCTCTTTACCTGCTGTAGTACATTACAAAGAACATCTTAAATTCTCAACTCTTACATAAAATTCCAAAAAGAGTTTTCACCAATTTTTCTCTAATGAAATCCAATGTGCAAGTTTCTTTGCTGGAACACACTTCACATACCATTAAAAAAAAAAAAAAGGACTTCTAGATCTAGCTTCAGACTAACTCCTAAGTGAATCCACTTTGAGTTGTGATTGCAGATAAGGTGTTTCCCTTCACCCCCCGGAATACTGTTCTCTAAAGACCAGGGAAAGTCATGGACTCGTGAAGAGCTGTGGGACCGGCTGAAGTGCCCACCCACCCCGTGCTCTGAACTGAAAAAGATGCAAGGCCAGGAGCACAGACGCCGGCCGGGGCGGAGGAAGACAGCAAAAAAGGCGATGTGACAGGCACGCAGCCCCTACTTTCCCGAGCACTTCTAGCCGCTGGCGCCGTTCTCAGACCAGGCCGTGCCTCAGCAAGCGCCGGCCCTGTGCTTCCGACCCGACCCGGCCCGGCGCAGCCAGCCCGCTCCGCCGCCCCGCGCCTGGCCCCGGCCGCCGCGCCAAGCAACGAGACCCCCTCCCGCGGCGCCGCCAACCCGCGCCGCCCCGCGACCGAGCCCCAGCGCCTCCGCTCGCCCCCGGCCCGGCGCAGACCGAGCGCCTCCGTCGGGCCGCAGCGGCCCATCTCCGCCCGGCCCGGCCCGGCGCAGAGCGAGCGCCTCCATTCGCCCCCCCACCCCCCCGGCAGAGCCCGCAGGCCTCTCTCCGCACACGAGCCGAGCGTTCCCCGACCCAGCGGCGAACGACGCTGACCTGCCTGGCTGTGCGCCATGCGCAGCACGGGGCCCAGCGTAGCGAAGGAGCCCAGGGGGTCGCAGCGGCCCTGGTCGCGCACCGCGAACACCTCCACCCTGCAGCTGGTCGCCGCGCTGGCCACGAACAGCACATCGCGGCCGCAGCAGAAGTGCGCCGGCTCTTGCTTGCAGGGCACAACTCGCTGTGACCCGAACGGGTGCAAGTTGTAAAGCTGCACCATGGTCCCCCGACAACCTCCGCTGCAGCAGCGCAGGGAGCACCCGCCGGCCTCCCGGGACTGCGCCCGATGACACAGGCCGCGCTGACGGCCTGCACTTCCGCAGCGGGCGCCCGCCGGCGCGCCCCGGCCGGCGGCAGGCGGGACCGCAGCGACCGGAGCCGCCTCCCGCCTGCGAGCGCGGGCCCGCGGCTGAGCGCCGGGCCAGGCCGGGCGGCCCCCCCGGCGGCGGGGCGCGGAGGCCGGCGTGTGCGCTGCCGGGGTTGTCTTCTCCGGCGGGATACGCTCCGTTCTCGTGCGGGTTGCTTCATCCCGATTTCCGTGTAGTGTTCGCGTGACTTCATTGCTATGCCAGCACTTCCAGACACCTTCCACGACCGCGAAGCGTCTGGCGCCCTATGCGGCTGGCAGCTCCGTGCAGTGGGGGAGTTCCCGAGTGGGAATCTAAGCTGGAAGCGCTCTTTGAAGTATGTGAGGTGAGACTGGGAATGGTGGCTTAGAAATAAAAGAACTTGCTGCCGAGTGTTGTGGGTCGGAGGTGTGTATTTGGAGTCGATTCCCTGGGGCTGGGTGAAACAGCCTACTCGGAGCGAGGCTTGGTGTTGGAACAGCTGCCGCAAGCATCAGCATGTCTAACGCATCAGGCTGTTCTGATCCGAGATCATTCAGTCTCCTGGATGCAAAAACAAAAGCATTTTTCGTTTTAAATACAGCAGTTATTTCTTTGGAACTCCCTAAATTGTGCATACACACTGTGCTCTACAGATACTAGTTAAAAGTACTTATGAAAATAATTCACTTAGGAGTATCTTTAGCATATGTAGCCCTTTTTCTCCCTCATGATTTTATAGAACATGTAGGGAAGGAAAAATAAACTACAAAAATACCCAAACCAAAACCCTAAAGCTTCTTCTCCTTTTCAGGATTCAGGACTAGAAAAATTTAACATAGGGGGGCCAGCAGTTTTTACCTGAGCAGTATCCTACAATTTGTTTCCAAGTGTCTATAAAACTATATTCCTTTGACATACTGTTAAAGGACATGAGAATGTTTTGGGATTTTTTTACTAGGCCAATGTACAAATGTCAAAAATTACAATGCTCTTATAAAGTAGATCCTTTTTTTCTGAATCAAATGCAGGGCAGGTGTGCTGGTTGGAAAATTTTACTTTTTCCTCTGCATGTCACACCCCCATCCCCCCATTTTTTTCTTTTTAAAGGAGCAAGTTTTATATTGTTTGCAAGTAGTCCGGTAATAAGTTCTACTTCTGTTCAAAAGTGTAATGGTACCTGCCACAACTAGTCCAGTAAATTATTGGAGTACAGTATTACTCACTTAACTATGGAGGTTTTAACAGGAGTCTTCGGTGAAGGCAGCCATACCAGGAAAATGTCTTCAGGAAAGATTAGGTTCCTTTGTACTGTGTTGAGACTCAGAATAGTAACAGCATAACTTCAGCAACCAGAAGTAGAAGCAGTTTCCTGCTTGTGAGAAATGAAAAATCAGAGAGTATATCTCAGAACATGTTGGGATCACAAGAAAGTACACACAATTGCCAGATTTCTTCTGTAATTTGCACATGACTAGATGCTACCAAAACCTGTAATCTCAAATGGTCCTTAGTGAGTATATACAAATAATAAAGAAGGAAAAAATAGAAAGTAGAACCTTTAAAACTTTTTATTTGAAAACAAACAAGTGAACAGCATTCTGCACTTTTTTTTTTTTAATACATTTTTCTAGACTTCAGTTTTCTAAATATTCATCTCCTTCTTCAGCCTCTGCTTCTACCGAGTCTACGCCAACTTCTTCATAATCTTTCTCAAGGGCAGCCAGATCTTCCCGGGCCTCAGAAAATTCTCCTTCCTCCATTCCTTCCCCAACATACCAATGTACAAAGGCACGCTTAGCATACATGAGATCAAATTTGTGGTCAAGGCGAGCCCACGCTTCAGCAATAGCAGTTGTATTACTCAGCATACACACAGCCCGCTGCACCTTTGCAAGGTCACCACCTGGCACCACAGTTGGAGGCTGGTAGTTAATGCCCACCTTCAAGAAAACAAATGAAAACTTTTCTTATGAGTGCTAAAAGAGTTACTTCTGTTAACAAACAAAAATCATGACGGCTACAAACAGAATAGCTTACAGTTATTTTGCACTTCATCAAAGTATTTAACGGGGACATGACAACATAGTAGAATGACTGTTACCTCTAAATACTATACAATTCCTACTAATTCAAACATCAAGCACTAAAAAGCTATGTAAGTACCTTGAATCCTGTTGGGCACCAATCCACAAATTGAATGGTACGCTTAGTCTTGATAGTAGCAATAGCTGCATTGACATCTTTGGGAACAACATCGCCTCTATATAACATACAGCAGGCCATGTATTTGCCATGGCGAGGGTCGCATTTTACCATCTGATTGGCTGGTTCAAAACAAGCATTGGTAATTTCAGCCACTGATAACTGCTCATGATACGCTTTTTCAGCGGAGATGACGGGGGCATATGTTACCAGGGGGAAATGGATTCGTGGGTATGGAACAAGGTTAGTTTGAAATTCTGTCAGATCTACATTGAGGGCTCCATCAAAACGCAGTGAAGCTGTGATGGATGAAACAATTTGCCCAATTAATCGGTTTAAATTAGTGTAAGTAGGACGTTCAATGTCGAGGTTACGACGACATATATCATAAATGGCTTCATTATCTACCATGAATGCACAATCTGAATGCTCTAATGTTGTGTGGGTAGTTAGAATTGAGTTGTAGGGTTCCACTACAGCAGTGGAAACTTGTGGCGCTGGATAAATTGCAAATTCTAGTTTAGATTTTTTGCCATAGTCAACAGAGAGCCTTTCCATGAGCAGAGAGGCAAACCCTGAACCAGTGCCTCCTCCAAAACTATGAAAGATAAGGAAACCTTGCAGCCCTGTGCACAGATCAGCCTATAATGGGGTGGAAAAAAAGTGAGAGAAAAAAAAGTTACTGATTTCAGATAAAGCAATATTAAAATAATAATTCAAAAACATTTATTTCTTAAGTTTTTAAGTTTTAAATTGTTAATAAACCAGCATTCTTTAAAGGTGGTCTTACTATTTTCTGTGTGTCTTTTACACAAAAGTACCAGTACCTCTAAATAACTTTTAAATAATAAAATACTCCTATTCAGAGAAAGTTGCTTTATTGTCTTCGCTGCCATTTTAATACTACTGTAAGCAAGAGCAGCTATGTACCACTGTAACAAATTACTGCAAATTACAGCTGGTAATTACATTACTGCAAGTTACATCTGTTTATGTTCCCATTCTAGCTTTCAGCAAGTATCAATTAGATGTTGAAAACAAGTTGTGTTTTTGTTGTTTTTTTTTTTTTTGTTTTTTTTTTTTTGTAATTTTACATAGACAACCACTATTTTACTTTGAATCGTATCATTCTACATGTGTTTCTCACAATATAGTGTCAAGATAAAACCAAACCAAAACCAAAACAAAACAACTGGAGAATTAATTAAAATTGCTAAGAATTCAACTTAAACCTGAAGTTCAGGGTACCAGAAGTATTTTGCATGACACATAACTGCATGATTCAAACTGAAAATAACAGCCAAACAAACATGTATAACAATGTTTGTTACACTTGTTTAAGGCTTTTGTAATATGTTTCTGAGATACCCTTAAAATACTTCCACAGAATGGTACTTCAGAGCCTCAAAAATTTTTAAGTTTTACTGATTGAATTTTTACTTAAGTGGTGTGTGGGGATGGTGCATGTGGAGAAAGGAAGTAAAAGTTTTGTTTTAAACATTCAACTATGCACAAAGTTCTCTTTGGAAAAAAACATAGCAAATTATCATTATAGATAGTTACAGAGCTGTATCAATTATTTTAAATACTGATTTGTAGCATGAATTCTTACCAGTTTGCGAATACGGTCTAGCACTAAATCAACAATCTCTTTTCCAATGGTATAATGGCCTCTGGCATAATTATTGGCTGCATCTTCTTTCCCTGTAATGAGCTGCTCAGGATGGAATAACTGCCTGTATGTGCCTGTACGTACTTCATCTACAAAAAAAAAAAAAAAAAAAACAGAACAAACTGACCCACAATGTAAATTTGATCTGTTCAGTTCTGTGTGTGCTGGCTAGGGACTACACGCTATGTGCACATGTCAGAAGAGTATAGACAGCATCCCTGACTATACGCAGCTTGTCTGACTAGCCTAAAACGTTGGCACAACTTCAGCCCCTTTGTTTAGAGGAAATTATCAGGCACTCACAAAGCAGTATTTGTACCCAAGAACACAGAGGTCACTCAGAAAACTACGTTACAGATACAGATAAGAATCTGTACAACAATTAAACAAAACTCTGGATCCAGTGCAGCCGCCTAGAGAGATTATCCACACCATAAAAAAGCTCTATTGTTTTCCAAGTGTTTTTACCCAAGACCATTATTTTATTTCTTTCAAATAACAATAACCCCGTATGTCAAAATTCCATCCAGACACACATCTTTTAAAATCTATAGTGTTCTGAACAAATAAAAAAAAGACTGTAGGGAATCTTCACTTTTACACTGAAGATCTTTTATGTTGGGTACATACCAACTACAGTTGGTTCTAGGTCCACAAACACTGCTCTGGGAACATGTTTACCAGCTCCTGTTTCACTGAAGAAAGTGTTAAATGAATCATCTCCACCTCCGATAGTTTTATCGCTAGGCATTTGGCCATCAGGCTGAATCCCATGTTCAAGACAATACAATTCCCAACACGCATTGCCAATCTGAACACCAGCCTGACCAACATGGATAGATATGCATTCACGCTGCAAAATAAAAACAGAATAATGATAATGAGCTACGGAATGACTCGTCTTCTAGATTTTATTCCCATAATAGCTAGCCATCTGTGGGTTCTATCTCTCCACGATTTTTCTCTGCTGTATTCTCTGGTTGCTCGAGTGACAATTTAACTGTCTGCCACTGGCAAGACTCTACTCTTCTTAGCTGACCTGAGCTTTGAGAATACTGTAAGATCTTAAAGACAACACAGTCTCTCTGAACACATAGGGTGAATACAGAATCCCATACCATGCCACACATATACTGTATCATTAATATTCTGCCCAGTCGCTTTTTCACCTTCTTTAGTTTTGGAAGACTTCTTTATATAATATCCCCAAATTTCACTGATTTGTTGCCAAATCATGCACTGGCTAACTGTTTCAAGAATCTTCCATGCACAGGACCATTTAGTATGTTTTCCTTTATAATAAGGTATTTAGCCCCTGGCAAATCATACATACTTGAGCTCCTCTGTGAAATCACCCAAGAATCCCAATCAAATACCATCTGCCTACTTTTAGCCAGCTCCTCTGATTCTAAGTAACTGTGCTATCTATGTTTAATCTCTAAATACCTGTATGTTGTCTTACACCCGAGATAGAGATAAGCTGTCTTTTA